TCATCATCATCATCATCATCAACCATCGGAGAGCTCGCACGATATCGCGTCTGTTTTTGACAGGAAAACTAAACTTTGCAAAGAACTTTCTAGTTTAAGACATCTGATAATGAAACTACTCCTTCCACTATCGTGCAAGTTTACATTAGACATCTGCATTATATTCGTTTAAAATGTTTCCGTAGTTTCTTAATCCCCAATTAATGGGGGAGGGGGAGAGAGGGGTCAACGAACCTTAAATACAAACGATTGATAGAATATATAGTACAATAATACGAATACCAAGAATGTACTATTTTGTTATCATAAAGAAAGGAAGAACAAAAAAAGAAAAAGGAAAAAGGATTGGACATAAATGTCATGCAAAGTTCAGTCGTTGGTTTAAACCGAAAGAAAAGAAAAAACTTTTGCAAATAATTTACAAACTAAATAAAAACAAAAAAAAAAAAGAAGAAAAAATAATTCAAAAAGAGTGAAAGACGGAAGAAGAGACACCCAAATTGCAAAATTCCGGAGAAAATAAATGGGGTTAGTAGACGGATAGACGAAACTTTTCTTTTTTTTTTTCTTTTTTGCGTGAGTTTTTCGAACAACGAAATGCACCGAGAAAATATCAAGCCGGTTTGCTGCTGTTACTGCTGCTGCCTAATAGAGACAACTTTTCAACTATTAAACTCAAACTCTCGCTAAACAAAGAGAGAAAGAATAAAATGAGAGGAAACGAGAGAGAAGATTATCAGTTGCTTGGATAGTTACAGATTCATGAGCGACAATAAGGATATTAAGCTATGACGGGGATATAATTGGCACTCGCCGTACTTGTTTCAATTACTAAAACGATCCCAGTATTCTCGGAAGAAGGTAGACAATACGAACCGGAATGCGACAATAGAGACGACCCTTTTGCTAAAAGTGAAGAGAAAAGAACGGGGGTGGGGGTGGGAAGAGAGAGAGAGAGAGAGAGAGAGAGACGGATCCAAGTTATCTGGTATCTTCTTCAAATGGAGTTTCAAAAATATCCATCCTTCCATTCACTATAATGGGGGCAATTCGTTGATTTAGAACAATGTAAGGACTTGAAGAAAATAACTTACGAAAGTATATAAAGAAATCTTAATCGACCCCTACTGATCTTTTATTCTCTTTAATTATTTTTTCAATTAATTTTCATACGTATAAATATATATATATATATATATGTATGTGTGTGTGTATATTATAAGAAAAAATATCATGCATACAATATGTCATATAAAAGGGGAAAAAAATAATCATTCATAATATAATTCGCGTATACATTTCAGATGAAAATAATCTAAACGAACTAGTGGGTGGGTGGAAGGTGGAAACAAAGTTTCTAAGTTATAACCAATTTCAAAGAAAGAGATAATATGATCCTATCAAACGAGGATAGAAAACAACTTCGTAAACCAATATACATATATATTGCACATGTACATAATATACTCATGGCCTCATTTTTAATCTGACAAATCTTAAAGATCAATTATTCTCACGAGTGTGTGCACACGACACGAGTTTTACATCGAGATAGTTTATAGGAAACGCGAGATCGACGAAATCTTAAAGCTGGTTTGCCAACGGGTGCTTGCACTTTTTTCCCCAGTTAAATATCTTACTTCTTTCTTTTTTTTTTTTTTTTTTTTTTTTTTACTTTATTTCCTATCCCTTTCTTACTTTATACTGAAATGTTTAGGCCAGCAGATGAAGAAAACAGGCCGGCTTGGCAAAAATCGGAATCCAAAGTCAGCGATTTGTCGCGTGGTCGAACAACTTTTTTCCTAGAAGAGCAAAGAAATATAAAAAAAAAAGAAATTGACTGATCGCTAGCATGATAGAGGTATTCTGTCGAAATGTAAGAGCCATTGTAACACCCACAGATAACTTTTACGAGTTTATTGCTTTCTTTCTATCGATAGATAGACACAGACAACCATACTCGATGAAAGATGGGTCGAGACCCTTCTTCTTGAGATATTCGATTGACGTTGCTTGCAGTGTCTGTCCTATCCCCCTCACCTCCTCTTCCTCGAAATATTCCAAGGATTTTTTTTCTGTTTTATCCTCACCCTTCAATTTTATTCGCAATATTATACGTTTATCGAGAAATTTCTGTTAAGAGAAAGAAAGGGAAGAATTTATTTTATTTTTCGTTGTTTTTTTACTTATCATCTTGTTACCTGCAATTACTATTCGAAGAGCTTTTTTTTAAATATATAGATATAATGAAAACTAAACCATGTTTGCAATTTATCTCCATACATCTAATATTCTTTAATATTATTCAACATACCAATATGTAATAAAATAATATATAAAATTAAACATTATAATTCATTTTATATTTATATCCTTTTCAAATTCTACTTGATGTTTATCGATAGCTAATATTTTTTAATTTGCACACGTGTCTAAAGAAACGTAAATTGTTTTATATGATATAGGATGATAACGTAAGCGGATGTAATTGTACGAACGTTTTCAAATTAATTAACTTTCATCTCTGTGTGTGTGTTATTTAAATATCGATTATTCATAATGAGAAAAGAGAAAGAGAAAGAAAAACGGAGTAACAAAAAGCACGAAAAATTGTTTATATACGATTATCGACTTGAATAAAAGATGAGTAAGAGAAGTTCGACAAATAAAAAAAAAAGTTTGCCGGACGCACAAATTGATTTATAAATAATAATTAAACAAAAAAAGAAAGAAAGAAAATAAGAGAGAGAGAGAGAGAGAGAGAGAAAAGAGAATACATTATCGACAACATTCTCGAAAAAAAAAGAAAAGAAAAATAAATAAAAATCACACGTTATCGTTGCATACGAATCAACGAAATGTTTACATTCTTTCGTATAAATAGTTAACACGCATGCTTGGAAAAATCCGTTTGTGTAGAAGAATTCGATTATATTCTTTTTATTTGGAATATATTTATTTTACACGTTGCAGTAAAGTCTATAAAAGAGAAAAGAAAAAAAGAATTGAACGAAACCAATCGAAGCGTTCTGAACTTATATCTCTTTTTTATTTCTTTTCTTTTTATTTTTTATTTTTTAAGGTAACAAAAGTTTTATCGCAATTCAATATATATTATCGATTTATTATTATCTGAGGTAAGAAATATATACGAAAGACGAATAATAATTTACAACAAGATAGTATATTATATGCGTTCTATACTAGACGGTAGAGTATGGCACAATCATCGATAAATGCGACCCCAAAAGGAAGATGTTCACCTCGATGAAAACCGCATTAGGATCGCGTTGCATATCGGTGGTCATAATCGACAATTCGAAGTAAGTTTGTGGATGTTAAGCGAGAGCGAATGCAACACTTCTCTCTACCCGTACAAACTATAACGATGAGAATGAAAGAGAGAGAGAGAGAGAGAGAGAGAGAGAGAGAGAAAGCAAACTGCACGCGAGCGTACACAATGGGGCTTTTCTCTCTCGACACCTTGCAACACACACGTGCATATAAACGTGTACAATCATATGCACATACTAATATGCTTATATATGCACACAGTTTCTCATACTGACATACCACTCGTTGACAACACAACTACTACTATTCTACTACTACTATTACTATTATTACTATTCTACTCAACCAACTACTACATACAACAACATATTGTTCACGCCTGCCAACACGTTTCTTCGACAAAACAATTACGTTGATCAACGACAGGCGTTACCCGTGAAAACCCGGCTTTGTCCCTATTACTATGGCATGCAAGATGTATCGATAACATTGGACTGTTGATCCAGTGACGACGATTTCGCGAACAATTTCAATCTGGATACACATGCCAGCCATGCTGTGATTCCCTTTGTTTCTCGCGATTCTGATATATCCATAGAAGAATTTGTTGGAAAGCTACAATCGTTTTACGAAAGAGGAGGAACCCAATTATCGATCGTAGAAACGTCAAATGGAAAAACGCAGGTGATTCTATTTTTGAAAAGGATACGCAACGAGTCCTTCTCTCATCCCCCCCTAACCCCTCCACTCCTTCATTAATCCATGAAATAAAATCGATCCAATTATACTCGTTGAATCGTGCCTGTTATCTTTCCCTTCCCCTAACATTTTTCAATTCTTCATTATTTTGTATCATTTTTTTATTTGTTTTTTAATTTAATTTAAATGGATATCAATTTTTAGTTTAAATATAATAATAATAATAATTCTATATTTGAATGGTTCTTTTTGTTTTTCTCTCTCTTCTTTTTCTTTTTTTATCACAACTTATAATTGCGAGATGGCTTCGAACAATTCATACGGAACAATGAGCATATACGCAAAACACCAGTTGTTGTTGTTGTTTCGATCCGACGAAAATCCGCGAACGATTACTAGAATCGCAGAAGCAAAAGTTTTCGAGTGTGCTTTCACCGCGTTGAAAAGATTCTTGGGGTAGAGGGTTTTAATACCATATAGCTCTTTCTCCTCTCTTTCCCTCTCTTATTTTCTTTTTTTTTTTTTCGGCTATTTTATGAGGAAGAAAAGCACTTTGAAAGCTACGCGAAAGGTTCTCACAGAGTATATATATATATATACACCTATCTATCGCGAAAGTACTCGAGTTGTACCACATGTGCCCCAGCTCACATAGCTATGAAGAATGTTGCCAACAAAAAGTAAACCTACTCGAGAGGCAAGATATCTTCGATTCTTATTTTTCCTTTTTCTTTTTCTTTTCGAAGAAAATGTTTCAAGCCAGAGAGAGAGAGAAAGAGAGAGAGAGAGAAAGCGGAGAGAGAGAGAGAGGGGATAAGAACAAAAAAAAATCTCGTAATCTCGTTGAGGGAAAAAAAACAAGGCGGGGAGTGGGCGAAGGATCGAAGAGAAAACAAAAAGAAGAAGAAGAAAACGACGTCATAAATCGCAGCGAGTAAAAAAGAAGAAATAAAGGAAAAGAAAAACAAGGGGGTTTCTTTTTTCCTGGCTGTTGTTGTTGTGTGTACCTTCGTCGCCAGACGTCGAGGAGTTGTCCTCGGAGGTGTCGAATTCGGACTCAGACTCTGGGGACGAGAGTCCCGATTGTCTGCCGAGTCTCGAGCTGGGTCTTCCATATTCGCCGATTTCTCCAAAACCTCCACCCCCACCGCCACCCCATCCTCCTCCTCCTGCTCCGCCACCGCTTCCTCCTCCTCCTCCGCCTCCGCCTCCTCCAGCGAACCTGCACTCATCGAGCTGTCGTCTACCGGAGTCCCTTGCCTCGAGTCCAGGCAACCGTTTGGTGAAGTCCGTCGGCATGGCTGGCCGCTTTCTAAGAATGTCGTTTTTTACGGGAGCACGTTATGCGCTATCATCGGTGCAGAGAAATAGGAAACGGAAAGAGAACAAGAGAGAAAGAGAAAAAGAAAGATAGATAGAGACAGACAGACAAACAGAGAAATAAGGATACGTTTGATAAGAAATAAAAAAAAGGTTAAGGTCAGATCGTTAATCAACAGGTTGTGGACAAACGACACGCTACCGAACAGATAATCGGATATCTACGATTATAAAGTGATATCAAACTATTGGGGTGTAGGGGGCGAACTATCGATGGGGTTCGGGGCTAGATTGTAGGGGTAAAGGTTGTAGGTTTGTTGAGTAACATTGATAACGATAGCTATCGGTTACTATCGGATTGACTACTACCGGATCATCGATAACGGGTTCAGATTGACAAGTGCGACGAAGGGAGAGCGCATAAACGTACTCCCTAAAGTCACGGAGTTCGACTGGCTGTGTTGTTGTTGTTGTTGCAGTAGTAGTCTGGCGTTTTCCGGAAGAACCGGTGAACTCGCATCCGGTACCACGGACATTTCCCAGATCAACGTTGGCAGGAATCTTTGCCTCCTTGGCGGGTGATGCTGGCGGAGACGTTGGTGGCGATGGTGAGGGACTTCCCGTACGACCAGAACTGTAGCACACCGCTGCCTTCCGCAGAGTCTCTCTGCACAGCTCGGAAAACATGCTGCCGCTTCCCCCATGGCCGTGGCCCTCGCGGACCACCACCACTTTTTTATTTTTGTCTCCCCCTCTTCTTTTTCTTCTTCTTCTTTTCACCGGTTCTTCCTCTTCTTCCTCTTCCTCTTCACACCTTCCTCCACTACCCTTTTTCTCGTTCACACGACGATAACTTTCCACGCGAAACACGCACCACCGCCCCCGTCCCCGCCCACGCACCCGCCGCCACCTCCTCTTCCTCTTCCTCCTCGACACCGTCCGTTCCTCTTCTTTTACGATTTTCTCAACGACATCTTCTCTTCTACTCTCTTCTCCTCCTCTCCTATCGAACTCCCCCTGATACGTTCTCCTCCTCCCCCTCAAAAATAACCCTATGGTACATACACGTTATACGTCTTTCTCTCTCTCACATACACACACTCTCTCTCTCTCTCTCTCTCTCTCTCTCTCGTTAACGGATCGTCTTTCTCGAGTTAAC